CCGTCCGGACAATCAAATACCCGGAATCGCCCAAATTGGCCGTCTTCAACACACCCGTGCGCATATCAAACGACAACACAGCCGCCGTGGCCGATCCAGCAGTCACGCGACGCTCATCAAGCAACTGCTGATACGCGCGAGTGAGCACACGCAAGGGGTCGGCTTCCCCGCCGTGCGCTGCCGCGCGACAATTGCGCATGAGTTCCCAGGCAAACAGGCTCGGGTCGACGCCCAGGTCGGCCCAGCCGCCGACGCCGTCCGCAACGCCAAACACGGCGAGTGGGCCGCGGGTTAGGGCAAAGAAGGCGTCTTCGCCGCAGTCGAGCGGGCGAGGCGTTAGGAGTTGGCTTGCGCCAGAGGGCGTGTGTGGATTGAGTGAAGTTGGGTCGTGCGCAGAAGTGGCGGGTGGCGGGGTCGCTGGAGTTGGGGTCGACGGGCGCTTGGGGCGAGCGGCGGCGCCCAGGCACATGAGAAAGGGTGTGTGGGTTGCTGTTGTTGGTGAGCCGGGATCCGCGTCGGCACCGACGGCTGGCAGTGGGTCGATTGATGGATCAATGGCTTCGAGCGAGTCGCCAACGGATGATGGTGAAGAGGTAGAAGCAGAGACGGATGCTGCAGCAGGCGGGATGGATGGACCCGAAGCTTGGTGCGACGGCGCCGAGTGCGCTTGTTGAGCATGGTCGTGGGAATTGGTGGATGTGTGGAATGTACGTTGCTGGTGCATGAGTGTCGGCGACGATGTCGAGTCGGGTGGGGAAGTGACGGAAACCTTGGACGACATGCCCGTTGGCCCTCCCTTGACTTTGGCTGCCGGAGTGTGTGTTGTATGCGAGTGCGAATGCGAATGTGGAGAGTGCCCATTGTTTTGTTGCGACGGCTGACCATGGCCATTGCCGTGCGCTTGAGAAGCAGGCGACGACGAGTGTTGCGAATGAAGAGGAGAGGCGGTTGTTGGCGATGTCGGAGCCGTGTACGGCATCCCACCGCCGCCATCGGCCGACTGATGCGCCACATTGAGCGAATGCGGGTGCGGGGCCCGTGACGACGCAATCGAGTGAGCTCCTCGACGCCCACTGTGGGCCGGTGCCCGAGCGTGCGTAGCCGCAGATGCAGCGGTCCCAACGGAGCGGCGAAGCTGATGTGACGCCAGTTGGCGAGCAGTCCGGGCAGCGACGGCGGAAGCGGTTGCTGGAAGGCGGGCAGCCACGGTGGCGGCGGCTGCGGCACCCGACTGAAGGACGTGCGACATTGCAGTGTATCAGAGTATGTACAGGGAAGATTGCATGCAGTGTGGGCAGCGCACTCGGCCTGGACTCTGCTGCCAATACTTGCGAATTCCTGACATTGACACTTCCGATCGGAACCATCGGAACATCAGAGGAAGCCGTCGGGATGGTTCGGGAACAACCCAACAGACGCGTAACGTTTGACGCTTCCCATCGGCCAGTTGGACTTTCCAAGCTCAACTGATAGACTGACTGACCCAGCGTGGACAATGCCACTCTGCGCATTCTCTTCTGGCAGTTACCTCGCTGCCTCCATGCTTGGCCCACCCGCATTTGTTCTCCCAGCGCAAGTGTCCGCATCGATTCCCAGTCGAAACGCGACATCCTCCAGTATCCGTTGTCACCCTCTGCCACTTGTGCAAGTCACCCCGGGCCGACCTTTGCCCTCTGAAAGGAGGTCAATTTGGTCACCGCAGATCCGTGGACACTACAGCACCGACATTGCTAGTATGCACTAACCATGGTGCCTCGCGGCTCACGCAATGCAGTCACAAGTACTGTGCCTAGTGGGTCAGATGTGGGCGAAAAGCCGGAGTGGTGCGAGTTGTATGCTCTCACTTGTGCTCGCACTTGGGTTGACATATTTATGGCTCTATCTGCAACTAGGGCCGTGTACCTCACTATCTGGTTAAGTAGTGACCTGGGCCGGGCCTATTTTGGGTGGCTTGGGCAAGTTTCAGTCTGACGAGGTAAGAGTGGCCAGTTTCGCCTCTACAGTGTGGTTGGCGACTGGTATCGTGCAACGCAAGCTCCTTCATCCCAATTGCGCGAATTTTTATACAGGGATTGTGAATCACAGACACTGGATGCAAGTTCAGTCTCAGTGTTATCAAACTCGCCCTTTATATGCCGAGTCTTTCAGGTTCAAGATATGGCCCAGAGCCAAGTCAGCTTACCGCCAGCTCCGCCAGCAGTTGAATATTTGCACGACAGAGAGCGTCCCTTGCATTGTACATCCAGCCAGGATGCGAATGCGACTGTAATTTTGAGGCGGTGTAGCCGGTCTGCCAACATGCGCCATGTTTTGAAAGATTGTGTTGTTGCATGCATGCATTTTCCATGCGAACTGCACATCCATACCTGCTACACTTGATCCATGTTGAGCTGGCAATTGATTCGTACCCACAAACCTCTTACAAGATCTGCTGGTATGAAAGTATACATGGGGCGTTTATGACAGTTCAGAGATTATACGGCCTCGGGATGACAACAATTGAATAAAAAAGGCGACTCGACAGACACCAATTTGTTGAATGAATACACAAAAAGAGTGAATAAACTTGAAGCATTGAGCCAAATGTCACCTCCGCAGACCCCAACACCGCCATCGCTTGACAAGAAGCACAAGAGATCCGACCGCTCATGTGCTTTGCCTGTCAGCAGCCACCCATCGTCGCCCACGTCTGGCTCGAAAGTCGTGCTCGATCCGCTCCACACCCTTGCGTCAGCTCATCATGATCAATCACATTCATGTTCATGTGCTGCTTCGCCAGTTCAGCAACTCCAGCAGCCATACGCGGGGCCGTTTGGCTTTCCGGGCTACCCATCGTCTCTGCCGATGATGCTTGGAAGCCCGACGGCGATCCTGGTTCCCACGGCACTCCAATCCGGCTCCACCCCTTCGTTACCGTTCGGCCTTGCTCAATTCCAACAACTGCAACAACAGCAGGTCGCCGCGACGTGCGGCTCATGCCCTATTCACCATCCGCAACTTGACCATCGACAGTCGCATCACCAGCGTTCAAACTCGGATAGCCCAACCCGGCGTCGGCTCTCCAAACATGCCCCACTGAAATCGGCATCGCCACCAGCATCTGCCTCCTCAATCCCCACGAGCCCGAGGCGCATTGCGCGCGAAAAGAGTCCCGTCCATGCGTCGGACGATGTATCAGTCGACAGCAGCGATAATGCTGATACCAGAGAGTCAGACATTGCCGAAATCACAAGCGACATACTTGACTCGACTGTCGCCTCTCTGGTCCATGACCTCGTTCTTGTCGAGTATGCGCAAGCCAAACTCGAGTATGTTGTTGCCCACTGCTATGATTTTGTTTCTCCCGCCCCTGAGGTTTACGTTCGAGCTGATCTCGCCAATTTTTTTCACAGTCAAGTCCGAACTACCAAGCAATTCCCATGGTCCACTTCTCCACGGGACCCGCTCGCGCACCTAGCGGCCTCTCTCCTCAATGAAGTCGTTGTCCAAGAAACTCGCCACTTGGTCCGCACATGCATTCACGATGCCGTGCTCGCCAAGCTCAAACGCGACGCAACTGACCGCGCATGCGAAGCCTTGATTGAGCAGTGTGTGCGGGAAGTTGTGATGAGCACAGTGGTCGAGATTGAAAGCGAGGCCGCAGCATCAGCAGCAGCGGCCGAATCTGGAGGCATTGTGGCGCGTGGAAGCAGTGAGGGGGAGGCCGACGGGGTACAGCAAGCTGGTAGCGTGCTCAAGGCGTTGGTCGCGGATGAGTTAACCTTGGCACAATGACGCTATCGGGAAACAAGCCAGAGGATGTGGCATCCTTGTGGCCAGTATTGCTGGCAGTTGTCGCCGATCAACTCTTGGATCGAATATGATGCAAAGTAAAGTCTGCCTATATTCTTGTATTCTTGTTCAAGTGCATATTGGGGGCAAAATGAGCTCCCTACACTTCAACCTTCTCCGCCCCTTTTTTCTTTCCCTCCAGCACCACATCCACCAACCCAAAAGCCTTTGCTTCCTCGGCGCTCATAAAGTAATCGCGATCCATCTTGCCCTCAATCACATCCTTGTCTTGACCGGTATGCCGCGCATAAATCTGGTTCAAATGCGTCCGCCAGCGTAATATCTCGCGCGCATGAATCGCCACGTCGCTCGCCTGCCCTTGAGCCCCACCACTTGGTTGATGAATCATGATGCGTGCATTTGGGAGCGCAAGGCGTTGCCCCGCGGACCCTGCAGCGAGCAGCAATGAGCCCATGGATGACGCTTGGCCGATGCACAGAGTCGATACGGGTGCCGAGATGTATTGCATCTATTATTGATGGACCATGGCATGAGGACGCGACAAATGGAACAATGAAATGTTAGAGAGCGTCGAACGAACCGTGTCGTAAATAGCCATGCCCGCGGTCACCGATCCGCCGGGCGAGTTGATGTACAACGAAATGGCTTTGGTGCTGCTTTCGGCATCCAGGTAAAGCAGCTGTGCGACAATCAGGCCGGCCACATGATCGTCGACGGGCGTGAAGAGGCACACGATCCGGTCCTTGAGCAATCGCGAGTAAATGTCGAATGCTCGTTCCGACCGGCCCTGCTCGAGTGATTGGAGATCCAGTTAACGGCTGTTCGCTAAACCATGCTCTGGCTTGGGCAGAGAAGAGCAGCGACGAAGATGGGCGGGCGGTACCGAGGTCTCGAGGACAAATGGCACAGAGTAGTTGTGCCTGGCCAGTGGAACGCGGCGCGGAAAAAGTGCACAGAGTCGGGCGAGCTGGGACATGGCGGATGGAGAACTGATATTATGAAGTGGACAAGGAATGCCGACTCGGTGAGGATGTCGCTTTTGTCATATATGAATGTCAGACGGCCCGGCGCAGTTTCTTGACTCCCATCAGTCCCAAAGAACGCTGTTGTACAAGTCACGGAGCACAAAAAAGGGGGTGGTTGCATACATGCAGCAAAGACAAGAAATGACACACAACAACAGCAATGAATAACCACAGCAAAACACATTACGCCTTGTACTCCTCCCACCCAACCTGTGCAAGCCTGTCCACCTTGCCCAGCACCTCGGCCTCTTGCCTCTTCAAGTACTCTGCCATCTTTTCCCTGTAATACCTCGACTGCGCGCCCAACATCCTCACTGCCAGCAAGCCCGCATTCGTGCTGTTGTTGATCGCCACCGTTGCCACCGGTACGCCCCTGGGCATTTGCACAATCGAGTACAATGAATCCTGACCGTCCAACACCTTGAGCGCCACAGGCACACCAATCACAGGCAACGGCGTCACGGCAGCAACCATGCCAGGCAAATGCGCAGCGCCACCCGCGCCGGCAATGATGACCTGAATGCCGCGTGCGGCCGCTTGTTGTGCATACTCGACCATGCGCAACGGCGTCCGGTGGGCGCTCACAATGGTGAGCTCAAACGGCACGTCAAAATCGCGCAGAATATGTGCCGCGGCGCGCATCACGGGCAGGTCAGAGTCCGAACCCATGATGATGCCCACTTTGGGCGCACCTTGCCGGAGGGCAGACGGCAAAATCACGTTGCGCGCATCGTCCACAGAGACACCGAGGTCGGCCGCCAGCAGCTGGGCCATGCGCGATTGCAACTCGGGGAAGGTTTGTGCAACGAGGTTGATGTGGCCCATTTTGCGATCGGCGCGGCAGCCCGGCTTCCCGTACAAATGCACCGTGGAGCCTGGGACCGTGACCGAGGCGTGGGCAGAGGCAAGGGTCCGCTGCAAGTCGCCCATCGGCACGTGACCGAGGATGTTGAGCATGGCGGCGTATGGCACTTTGAGGTCAGTCGAGCCAATTGGGAGGCCGGCGAGCACGCGCACGTGATTTTCGAATTGAGAAGTGTTGCATGCGTCTTGGGTGTAGTGACCAGAGTTGTGGGGGCGAGGAGCGATTTCATTGAGGAGGATTTCGCCTGTTTATGGAATAATGGAAAGTGGTCAGAGTCTGCCAATATCCCGTTTGCCGAGAAATGCTGAGCAAGTGTGCCATACCAGAGGCCAAGTAGAACATCTCAACGCCGAAAATGCCAGCTCCAGACAAGCTTGCAACAGCCATTTTTGCCACTTCCTGAGCCCTTGCCGCCAAGAGTCCATCAATCTGCGCAGGCGCAACAACAACATGGCAAATGTTCCTCGTGTGCACCGTCTCGACAGTCGGATATGCAACCACATGTCCCTGGCGATCCCGCACAACCATGACGGCCAACTCGCGCTCAAACGGGCACCAAGCTTCCGCGTACAGGGCTTCGGGATCGGCCTTTGGGTTCAGAGTCTCGTAGGCCTTGGCGATATCCTCCTCGGAATGCACAGCGTAGTTTCCGCGGCCGTCGTACGCCCACCGCTTGCTCTTGAGCATGAGCGGCAATCCCCACTCTTTAGCCAGCGACTGCAGGCTCTCCACGCTCGGGACTGGCGCGTACTTGGACGTCGGCACACCGTGCTTGGTCAGATGCTCCTTTTGCGCAAACTTATCTTGGATCACGCGAATGGTGCTTGGTGCCGGGTGCACCTCCACCTTGCCCTCGGCCTCGAGCTCGTCGAGCACATGGGTGTCGACGTGTTCGATTTCAACTGTGAGGACATCGATCTTGGACTGCGAGACAAACTTGCGAATGTCGGCCGCGTTCGAAAAGGCGCCGCAGTCAATGGTGCCGGCCACGGGAGGGCCCAGGAGCTGCTTGGCCGGGGTGGCCGGATCAGAGTCGAGGCACACGACAGAGACGTTGAGGCGATGGGCGGATTCAATGAGCATGCGGCCGAGCTGGCCGCCGCCGAGGACACCGATGCGACGAGAGTTCATGGCTGAGACTATGATCGTAGTCGTAGGAGGTTGGGGAAGACGCAAGCTCGATGGGAGGGGAGGCGGGCGGGCAGTTAGAATCCAGACAGCGTCTACGGGTGGTAGGGCCGTACGGGCGGGTCTGCCAACGCTTTTCAATGCTTCACGTTTTTATCTGCACCCGACGCGATCGGGTCGATGGAAACTCTTTCTGGAACAGGTCAAAGCCACATGCATGGAGAAACGCGCCGACAGGCACGGGATTATTCGGCGAGGTCGGGACGCCGATCAACCCTCTGCTGGTTGCTCGTGTCTCACCTTGCACTTTTGCCAAGATGCAGCACATCGGCGAGAAATGTGATGGATGATGTGTGGGGCCTTTGACCAGCTCACGGACTCTCTGATGTATGTATTTGAGTGAGCGACGCGTCACTTTTTTTGATTGGCTTGAAAGTGCCTCGGATACATGGTTCCCACGCCGGAGAACTTGGTTGGGCAGTGCAAGATCGCTGTCTCTCTTCCAACCCTGCAATGCAAGCAGCCACTATGCAAGCGAATGCCCACGACCTTACTCGGATGCCACGGGTGAACAACCAGCCGGCCTCACTGGCTGCTCTGCCATTCGCGATTCTTCACCTCATTTCGGCAAACTGCCTCGAAATTCGCGCAACTGCTCGCCTCGCCGTTTGCTGTCGCTCGCTCTACGGTTCTTTAGATTCTCGGCACAATGGCACCTTGGGCAGTGTTGCAGGCGATATGGAACTCAACCTGCACCTTATTCACGCCATTCACTTCATGTTTCGTGCCTGTCTCGAGACGTACGACTGGAAAGTCGAGTGTCTCGTCTCGCTCCCAACCCACTGAGAATCGCTCGCGTTCATTCCCCAACGCGTTCCGTTTGACCTCCAGTGCTTGGAGCATGGTTGGTATGGTGTCGAGGATTGGTACGATGTCGCGATTTGACCCGATCAACCAGGTACCTACTTTACAAACCACTTGGGCTACTTCTTTCGGTGCGGGGAACTGATTGCTGCGGCAGCTGTGCAAAGCGCGGGTGAAGAATTGGCCAATAATCTGTTTCTTTCGCGTGTCTTTTGGCGTCGTGGCCAGTGTCGAATTTGGTATGACGAGCGGCCAGCGGCCGAGCTCGAAGAGGAATCAAGGATCATTTGCGAGCTGTTGGACAGTGGCCAGTCTCTGGCTCTTCCAGGCGAATCTTGGGGCCGGCTGAAGCTTCCCGCCACGCGGTTCGAGTTCTTACCAATCAAGACGGTTTCGAATGGGACGGGCCCTTGGTTTATCCCGCTTAGAAGGTGACGGCGCTTGCACCGGGCGGTGAATTCGCTGCCAACCGCATTCCATTGGCACAGGCGATGAATGCACTGATTGTCATATGTATGTAAGAAGGATGCCTCACAACGACGTGAGTCATGGCTTCCGATTTCGCGATACATCGCTGATACATAGCTCTCTGCTCCAAAGTGAAGAGCGTATCCTCAAGCAAATGAAACCACACTGTGACCCTGAGCAATAGTGCCGCCCTCGCTCGTATTGATACTGCCATGTCACCATGTCCAACAAGGTCGTGATCCTCGATTCCGACTCAGATTCCGCCGACGATTTCCGCATCGTTTCCGCTCCATCCGCTGCAGCCACGGCTCCCGCTCGCTCTCGGCCCGCTCGGCCACCGCCTCAGGTATCGGCGCCTATACAGGCAGCGGTGGCTGCACCAGCTCCCCGCCGGTCACGACCCTCAGTTCCGGCGCCTTCTCTCGCTGCCACCACAAGTTCGGCCGCAATCTCTCTCATCTCGGATGACGACGACGATGATAACGATATCATTGCCTCGTTTCCAACCCCCGCAACGTATCGAGCCCCTCCACCGCTACCACGACCGCGTTCCGATGCGCCTGGTTCGTCTGCCGCCCCGCAACAATACCATATACTTTCTTCGCCCGAACCACCCGACCGCACCGCACGCATCTCGTCCTCGCAACCAGCACCGACCAACGGCGGTGCTGCCGCTCGGCCACTTGCTCGCACGTCCAGCGCCGCAGGATTCGATGACAATGCCGAGCTGTCTGATCTCGACATGGATCCCGAGTTTGTTGCGCAAGCGAAGCGTCGCAAAATGCAGGTAGCGGCCATTCAACGTTCTCAGTCGTCCATTTTTGCTGCAGGTATGGCGGCCGGGGCGGCTTCGGCAAGTAGCCAGCCTGCGCCGAGTTCTCGTGGGGCGAGTGGTGGCCCGCAGGGTAAAGGGCGGGCGGTGCGGCGGGCAATGTCGACCGAAGAGGCGACGAGGGCAAGGGAGGAGAAGGAACGGCAGAAGGCCGAAGAGAAGGCGAGGAAGGTTCGTGAGTCACTCCTATTCGGCGTTGTCATTCAGACTGATTGACAAAGGCCATGTTGACAGGAAGCGGAAAAGGAGCGCAAGCGACTCGAGCGGGAAGAGGCAAAGCGACAAAAGGAGTTGGAGAAGGAACAACGCAAGGTCCGCTCATATGATTATTCACGACCCTCTCACTATTTCGGTCATAACCACTCGCTCCCGCTGTGTTTCGGAAATTGTGCAGAAATTCAACGATGCAAACAAGGTGCAATCAAAAGATACATACTCGTCGGAGCTGCACGCCTATATCCACCTCTTTCTCACCACCCGCATGGTCGACTTTGACGAAATCATCCGCGGCCTGTCCGGCGTCGGCACCAAATCCACCATTGTTGGTCCCGCGAGCCCCATTGCCGCCCTGCCACACGCCCCTCCGCCCGAATGCATCACATTCACTCGCTCCACATACCGCGAATTCAACGCCGACCGCCAGGTCTGGGAACCCACAGACCACGCCATTGTCACACGAATCCCGCTCATTGTTATGCTGATCGACGGGTTCAGCCTGGGTGACCGCGTGCTTGCCGATCCGCTCGAGGTGCCGCGCGAGCTCAACAAGGCGTGCAAGCGCGGGCGGCTCTACTTGCTTGTGGAAAACTTGGACGGGTGGATGAAGCGCAAACAGACAGCGAGTAATCGGGCCAGGAATGCGGCCGGAATGGGTGCCGCACCTAGCGAGCATGTGCCCGAGTGGCAGCGGGTGTTGGACACGGTCAATGAGTGGCGGCTGGTGCATCAGTTTACCGTCATCTTGACGCGAAATCGTAACGAGACGGTCAGTTATATGAATGTCATTGCTAGGGAGGTTGGAGCCATGCCTTACCGGTACGTGTCGGATTCGGGTGTGGTCAGTCGCACTGGGTTCTTACATGCTTGCGTTGGACATAGGAAACTGGCGCATTCCGACGAATCATTGTGCGCCGACATTTCCGTCGCGTCCGGCAAGAGCAACGCGGACACATGGCGGCTCATGCTTGAAGCCGTCAAGGGCGTGACCGAACCTATTTCGCGTGCCATTGTGTCGCATTATCCAACCATGGAGTCGCTGTACAAGGCTTATCGGCGGGATCCGGGCCGCGCGCCAGGTTTGCTAGCCACGATTCAGGTATGTCGTACTGGATGTTGCTTGTGCGTGAAGGTCAGATTCTGACAAGACGGATTGTTTTTGTGCACATGCAGGTCGTCCGTGACCCGACCGGGAATGGCAAGAGCAGGAACATTGGGCCAGCCATGTCGGGCAAGATTCATTCCATTTTAATGGGGACGGATCCGTCATTTGTATTGTAAGCCGACTGACGTTGGTAACCTGGTTACGTTTTTGACGGACCGTCAACATGAAATGACCAAGATGAACCTTCTGCCAGCACGTACGTTCGCTCGCAGTGAGCTGTACCTCTTCTGAGAGAGCGATTTATCATTCATCCACAGGCAACAGGTTTATTCTCATGACAAATAAGTCCATGTCAATACCCAACAAAACAGATGGAGAGAGAGATCTTTGAGGCGAAGAAAAAGTCAAAACACAAACGATCCATAGCAATACGCAATCAATTGATACTGTGCGATATGGATTTAGCAGTTACGGCGCAGCATCATGACGCAATCATCGCAGTATGCAAATTGCTTGCAGTAAAAGCGACCGTCGTTTCCATAAGCAATGACATCGCACGCTTGGTCGCGAACCCACCGTTGCCGCTCGTCCCAGCTGTGTTGGACCCAGGTACGTCATGACCAGCCTTCAACAAGGAAACCCCTGGTTTGCTCCTCAAACAGCAAGCGTAGCTGGTAAAAAAATCCTGAAACTCTTCAAGAATCGAATTGTATAGGTCAAGCAGAGCAGCGTTTTCTGGAACATTTTTCTGGCTGCTTTTAGGCACTTCTAGAAGTCGATTGTCCCGATTGGCATATCGTTCGTGAGACAAACGGTTGATGTTGTGAAACCGTGACCCCCAAGCCACTCAGAGAAACAGGAACCATGGATGCAGCTTTCACGTTGTCGGATGAACGAGAGGCAGCTGGCAAACGGCACCAAAGGAAGACATCAGAGCACTTCCCTCACAGAATACATACGTATTCCCCGATGAGAGAAGAGAAGCTTGAAAACACAAAGGCATTGGCCGAGAACACCTCAAATGCCTACATGAGTTTCCCCACCCTCTACCTCGCCCTTCATGCGAATGACCAGGACTTGCAACTGGATCACAGCCCACGATTCCCTGCCACAATGTCAACTCCACGCCCACCCTTGCTCTTTGACGCCGACAAGGGCATCTTTGCCACCCCGGTGGCCTACAACCTCTCAAGCACCAAAACCGCCATCCAAATGCGTGCCGTTTTGCACAAGACGCCCACCTACTCGCGGCCCGCCAACTGTATCGCGCAATGCACCATGGGTGCCCCGAACTTGTGCCTCGTTCCACGCTACAACCTGGCCGACCTTTTGCCACTCAACGCGACCGCGCGCAACATGCTCACTGCCACATGTGACATTATCGAAAACGGACCCAGCGGCGTGCCGGCAAAGTTCAAGTTCAAGTACGGCAACGAGTTTTACGGCGTCATGGGATGGATTCCGCAGGCTAAAGTTGTGCAACCCAAGTCGCCAGCTGCGAACGTGTCTGAGGCCGAG